ATGAGCGCCATAGGTACACAACAGCGCTTAATAATTTTATCTTAAAGTAACAAGTTATTCGGTTGGGTGTGAAAAAGCAGACGCTAAGCAAAACATATGCGCTGAATATTTTATAAGAATAATCTTATAAATATTAACAAGGCTATAAGATGAGCAGATTGACGTAACGATCAAGCCTTCGTCGACAATTCACTTAGCACACCACTGTTCAACTAATACATCGTGCGTGGTGCGGAAGAATGGTACTACGTGCTGCACTTTACGATAAGCTACAGTCCTTGCCTCCATATATATAACAATAATGACAAACAGTATCGAAATAAGTGCAGTGTCGCACACCATAAACCGAATGAATGATATATTGCATTACGGTGGATCATTGATTGCACACAGATGATTTTTTATTTTACGCCTGACCTCCAAACTATGCAGACAGCGAATTAGCTCGTCACTGTGTTGTACGAGTAAGACTGTCTGTTTTCATTTTTGTAGACCTTAATGCCAATGATGAGCTCTATGCTAATCATCAACATTGCACTGTCGCTTTTTGGTTACCAGAGAAGTTTCTAGAATTCTACAAAAAAAAGATTCGCCCAACTTCAGTTGCACGGATATATCCAGAACTGCATATGTAAAGCATGAGAATCAGCCAAAAAATCTCTATGGTTCTAGACCGAGAGTCCATAAATTATCAGGCAACTGATCAAGATGCTTAGGAATTCAATTTCCCCAACCTTTATGCCCTCAGTAATATGATTTATAAAACTGGATGGAAATGGTTATCTTTGCACCGTTTTAAGGTAAGGATACGACTTTAATTAAAAATAAAACTAAAACAGAACTGCTACAGATTCGATGCTTTTGAAAATAGGATTATCCGATAATTTGTGAGAGAGCAGTCCACATATTCCTCACGGTCTGTACAAGCAAAATGGATTCAGTAATGTTATTTTTATATCGTTTTCTGATGTCATCCAGCCAAAGCCCTGTGAAGTTTCTTTCAAACGAATCTGATTAGCTTTCTCTGCTTCGAAAGTAGACAGGTCAATAAGTGTTTCATAATGTGGACTGCTAAAAGGAATTTCGATCCATAATCTTTCCTTCTGAATTTTTCGTCAGTGTTACTCTTTCCAAAAGATTTAATAGGGTGCTTCACAGGCACTGATTATAACTCCCTCCTTAGATGATCGTTTTAGAGTTAATCATCAGTCTTCGTGGCTGTTGTGCTGGCTATAAAAACTGCACTTCTAAATGTATGCTATATGGAGTTGTGCACATCAGTCGAATCAAACTCAGTCAAACTACATTTCAACCTTGCAAGCAATAATCCTCTCTGGTTGCTATTCGTTTTCAACGTCCAGTACGCAAAAGGCTGGATTAAAAACAGTGCGCTTTCTCCGATAAACTGAACAGTGAACATTAGGATTTTTTCAAACTTCGGTCATCGATTCTCATCGACGAAGATAGCAATCGTCTTCTTCCAGTTGTGTGAACCATCCAACGACCGCTCAAGTAGCTAAAGGTCAGTAGGTCTAAAATTCATGTTCAAAAAGACCTGGAAAAAATCGCAAATGTTATTACAAAACAGAAGCGTTATGAAAAACGACATCAACATCATTATGCGCCATGGAACTACAGGACTATGAAGAATATACATTAATGGAAGAATTTGCACGAAAGACTGAAAATGAACGCCGATGCAATTGTAACCTGAGCTTGTGTGATGCATGCGCAGAAAGCATTTCAAAGCGTGAACACGAAAAAGCCGTATTTTTACGGTAACCAAATTTTCAATAACGGGAAGCTCAGTTAGCATGGCTTAGCCATTTGCCCATAATACCTTACAACTATTATATATTTAAAATTTACGATTTATCTTTGCTCTGACTGGAAGTCAACTAACATATACACTAAAACGAATGGCAAATGCAAACTTACGCAGAGAATCATGTAACGATAATTTGCTATCCTACAACACAACCGAAATGGACAATTACGCAATCTGAACTCTTGCCCTGCTATCGACTTGCTATATGTTTTCCCCTCTATTGCGCGGAAGCACAGTAGGATTCAGAAGTTTAGTACGATGGAACATCCCCAAATGATATAACCATCTCCAAGTGATTCAGAGAGACAGCAAATGTCAGCTTCGTCTGCGCCTTAAATTTGGGCTGAAAGCAACC